ATATAAAAACATAACAAGAATTTATCCTACAAAAGGTTCTATCAAAACTCTAGATAACAACTTAGCTATTCATAATAGTATGTAAAACTACAATACTAAAAGTCATAACTAACAATGAAAAATAGGAAGAGGAAGGAAAAAACTCGTGGAAGAATTCCCAAGCCTTGCTCCTATTGTGTCTCTGCCTCCTTAGGTCAAATCTATGTCAAAAATATGTCCTCTTCTTGTTCTTGGCCGGCTTCCTTGGTTTAATATAGGGTTTAGGGCTTAAAATCCCGTGTTTTGCACTTTGGTCCCTGAAATTTACGCATCCTGCCGTGGTTCCACCGCGGTCGCGCCGGAACCGCGGCCAAACACCCTCTCAGATTCTTCAGTTGTCCGCGACTGCCCTCTGCTGCGGTTCTGCCGCGGTTCTATCACGGTCGCGGTTTTTGACCTGTTTCGTTTGGAATTTGGAAAAACATAAAACATGAAAGTTGTATACCTTTGAGTTAGCTTTCCAACTATATATTGTGGAGCTCAAATGAAGTTCTGAGTAAAAAGTTATGTCTATTTTACAAGACAATGCACAATATGCCTCTTCGAGTTTTCGTTTTGATGTTTTATCATCCGTTGATCCCCGAACGCGATCCCGGCTTAATTCCTTGAGCTATTACTCAGACTTCAAAGCTCCAAACTACTTAAATTCATTACATAACATCTATATAGCTCGGAATCACACCTACAAGGCATAAAACACACAATTAGTGCAAAACACTAGCGATTAAAGCGCAAACTCAACTAAAATGCAGTAAATTAGAGTGTAATAATCGACTAAAATACGTAATTATAGCCTATCATCACACGTGTATCAATCTCGATGAATGAGTTTGTTTAAAAATTTAAATAACATTAAGAGTAAAAACATATAGACTTTGAAGATTTAAAAGCCTTTCTAGTTTTTGGAGCTATTTTCAAGTTTATTTTTTACTTTTTTTTAAAAAAAATTTTAAGTTTATTCTAGAAGACACAAACACAGTCTGCTAACTAACATAAGATGGCTTTTTTTTCTTTGTCGCAAGCAAAATGCAAGTTGTTCTACTTTTTAAATCAATATACAGTATAATATTATTCCTATTAGATTAAAAAAGAATAAATTATATTACCAAAGTAGAATACACCAGCTCCCCTTTTAAATCATAAATACAAATTAGTAAATTTTAAAGTGCTAAATATTAAAAAAAAATTATAATTTTATATATGAAATTTATGTTTAAAAGTAGAAAAAACCTATCAAAATTTTTTCTTGGAGTTTCTTGCTTTTATAAAATAGTATTAATAAAATCGAATAATAATAATAATAATTATTATTATTATTATTATTATTATTGAAAGAAAATAATAAATATATTGACAAAGGAAAATCGGGAGAAATTCAAAAATAGCAAAATTTATAAGTAGTCATTCAAAAATAGCCACAGTTTCAAAAGTAATCGAAATTTAGCCACTTTTCATGTAAAGATAAATCTGAATGAAACACTGTTCAAAATCCGAAAAAATACTCTAGTATATTATACCGGAGTTCCAGCATAAGTATACCGGAGTTCCAACATAATATACCGGTCCAGCATAATATACTAGAGACCGGAGCACCGGTGCTCAAATCTCCAGTATATGATACTGGAACTTTCCGCATGTTAGTGTTCCAGCATAATATACTGGAAGTTCATACACAGGTGCACCGATCTCCAGTATATTATGCTGGAACTTTCCGTGTTGCAGCAAAATAGTAGTTATGTTTCAATAACTTTGTATACACTGGCTATTTTTAAAATAACCAGTCCGAAAACTG